CAATCTTGCTCTGGAGTCCGTTGCAGTTGAGTTGTAGGAGTTTCGTATGCCTTGGGAGGCTAGTCGCGATACGGGGGTAAGGGAGGAGTGAGGTCTACCTTGGGCTTGTTGCATGTGACGCGCTTGCTGTTGCTGACTGTTTGGAAGTGGCTGCAATTGAAGCGGTGTTGTCTGCGTCAGCGGTGCTCTACAGCATGGGGCACTGTAGTTCGCAGTCCACGCGCGCGTGGTGCGTAGGCCAGAGCATAGACGGAAGTGGGACTTGCCAAGGCATGTGTTGCATTTGACCGATGTCACGTTCCGGTATATTCGGCTCTGGCATACGGAGCAGATGGTGTGTGCAACCAGGAGCTGCTGGAAGGCACGTACGAGTGCTGCCCCCGTCATGATATCAAAATCTTGCTTGGGGACTTCAATGCCAGGGTGGGCAAGGAAGGGATCTTTGGAACCACCGTCGGAAAATTCAGCCTCCACAACGAAACGTCCGACAACGGATTGAGGCTGATCGACTTCGCCGGGGCCCGAAACATGGTAGTATGCAGTAATAGGTTCAAGCATAAAAAGATCCATCAAGCTACGTGGCTGTCTCCGGTTCGAAAAAACGAGAAACCAAATCGATCATGTTGTGATCGACGGAAGGCACGCTTCCAGTGTTCAAAGGTCCAAACATCGACTCGGACCACTATCTTGTTGCAGCCAAGATAAGCACCCGCCTCTGTGCAGCAAAAAATGTGCGCCCAAATATGCAAGGAAAGCTTAACGTCGAAAAGCTACAATCACAACAGACAGCCAGCGCTTTCGCTACTCGACTCTCACACCTGCTCTCAGAGAGCACTCTTCAACAAAGCGACATATGCGAGCAGTGGTAGCACATTTCCCGCTCATTAAGTACCGCCGCCGAAGAAGTAGTCGGATTTCAGCGAGCCCGAAAGAACAACTGGTACGATGAGGAGTGTCAAGAAGCTGCAGAGAAAAAAGATGCCGCCTACAGGGCCACGCTGCGATCGGCCGCAACGCGCGCTATGCGGGACCGCTATAGGGATCTGAAGAGGGAAGCGAGACGTATTTGCCACAACAAGAAGAGAGAGGCCGAAATACGTACGTGCGAAGAGCTTGAAATGCTAGCCGACAGGAAGAACGCCCGAAAATTCTACCAGAGGAAGGTTTAAAGACCGGGACGCCCTAGTAACTGATGTCCAGAGCGTACTAAAATTACGGAGGGAACACTTTTCCGCCCTACTAAATGGTAGCCGCACGGAGAGTTGTTGAGAAGAAGAACCTGAGCCCCCGCAGTCGATGATGACGGAGTCGACGTTCCACAGCCTGACTATGACGAGGTACGTATAGCAATAACGCGGCTGAAAAACAACAAAGCTGCTGGAGCTGACAGCCTGCCAGCTGAACTATTCAAGTACGGCGCATGCATCAACTCTTGTGCAGAATATGGTCAGATGAACGCATGCCCGACGACTGGAATTTAAGTGTGCTCTGCCCAATCCACAAGAAAGGTGACCCCGCCATTCGCGCCAACTACCACGGGATCAGCCTTCTAAGCATAGGTTACAAGGTCTTATCGAGTGTATTGTGTGAAAGACTGAAGCCCACGGTCAATGAACTGATTGGGCCTTATCAGTGTGGCTTTAGACCTGGCAAATCTACCATAGACCAGGTATTCACAATACGCCAAATCTTGGAAAAGGCCCGCGTGAAAAGGATCGACATTCACCACCTATTTGTCGACTTTAAAGCCGCTTTTGACAGCACTAAAAGGAGTTGCCTATACGCCGCTATGTCTGAATTTGGCATCCCCTCAAAACTCATACGGCTGTGTAAAATGACGTTGAGCAATACCACCAGCTCCGTCAGAATTGGAAAAGACCTCTCCGAGCCGTTCGCCACAAAACAGGGTTTCAGACTGGGCGATTCCCTTCCATGTGACTTCTTTAATCTGATGATGAAGAAGATAACACTGTGAGACAAATGGTAGGGGTCAGTGATCGGGTAGGGTTCAAACTACCGGGGAAAGTTATATCGGTAAGAACGAAGGGACACGTCTAGGAATCGAGATATATATATAAATATCATATAGGGGAAATTGTCACCTTTGGTGGTCTTTTTTTGACATAACTCGAGAACCACTAGTCCGATTTTGCTCAAGCAAATTTAAAAAAATTAAAAATTACAATTCCTTTAATCTGTTCATATAACGTTTTTCTATATCGTGACCGAGCACTTTGTGTATGACGTACGGACCTTTATACAGAGAAATAAATTTTTTATTACTCCCGCAAGTATTGTCGACATTCCTTATAACAACATAATCCCCTACTTCGTACGTCTTGGTCGCGGCCCCACCTTGAGAAGCTCGTTTAGAATCATATTCTTGCTTTGCTTCAATTCGACTTAATGCATCATTGCGCAGAATTTCCAAATCCCTATTACTGCGCGATATATATATATCTCCCACGAAGTAGAAGTCTCATTAACCGACTTCCAAAAATAGAGGAGGTTATCAGTTCGTCGGAATCTTTTTTTTATGTATGTTACCGCATTACTTTGGACCGCGTCTACCGATTTTGATAACTCATTTTGCATCGGAAAGGTAGTGTCTCAGAGGTGGCCCCATACTAATCTCGTTTAGATCCGATCATTGGATCATGAAATATATATATATTGCGCGATTTTTTATTAAAAATTTTCATTATTTATCGAAGTATTAAAAAAAATATTGGAATCGATAGAGATGATTGAGCTGAGTATAACGGTATACTTCTTTTTTTGGGCAAACAACAACAACAAAAATTATCAAAGGTTAAAGTTCAAAATAAGCAATTTATGAAATCAAGATTTCTTAAAAACGGATGGATGTATCTTGAAAATTTAATAGGAAATTTGATTCCCTTTAATTTGGTATACGTGCTTTATATACATGTTGTATAGTTCTTACAAAAATTGAATTAATGTAAAATAATTATAAAGAAACACCTTTTGCAGAGAACACCTTTCTGCGTAGGCGGCATTCGGCCGCACTTAGGGATTATAACCCTCACAACGTAGAATTATCCTTCTGTGTTGCGAAGAAAAGGCACTGAACACCTTTTGCAGACAACACCTTTCTGTGTAGGCGGCGTCGGCCGCACTTAGGGTTTGTGAGCTTTCTTTTATAATTCTTTTACATTAATTCAATTTTTGTAAGAACTATACAACATATATATAGAGTACGTATAGCAAATTAAAGGGAATCAAATTTGCTATTAAATGAGATCAAAATTTTCAAGGTGCATCAATCCGTTTTTAAGAAATCTTGATTTCAAAAATTGCTTTTGTTAAATTTCGTTGTTTTCTATGAGCAATTACCACGTCAAAAATGCACTAAATCACCAGTTTCCACTTTTAAAACACTATTAAAACGTCTCCGGTTATTATATTATGCAAACCAAATCATTTATTCACTTTTATTTTATATATTTCGTTAATAAAACAGAGTAAACAAACTTTGCGCCTGCCGAAATTATTATAACCTCAAATCGCTGGTGTTGCCACTTTATTTCACATTTCATTTGCGCTATTATACTCAGTTTACACTATACACTTCTTCTTCTTTTTTAACTTTCACCTAAATAAGATATTCTAACCAAAATATAATAGCAAATTTCGCCATACCATGGCAGCGCTACTTTTATGGTTTAGTTATTTTAGCTGTAAATAAAAGTAAGCGTCATGGAGTGCCAAAAGTGCGATTTTTTATAAAAAATTTTCATTGATTATCGAAGTATTGATTTTTACGGAAAAGTGCGGAAGGCGAAAATTTATAATATAAAATCGCACGAGTTTTTATTAAAAATTTTCATTATTTATCGGAATATTGATTTTTATGGAAAAAGCGCCGCAGGAGAAAATTTTTTATAAAAAATCGCGCGATTTTTTATCAAAAATTTTCATTATTTATATATATATTAAACGAAAGAAGATACGGGTGGGCTTTAGTAGTCAGCCGCACCTTGTGTTTTAAGAAAGCCAGGTGGAATTAACAAATGAAACTTGGTCAGGATGCTAAGGGAGGTATCCTCTAAAACATGTATGACTAAAAAATATAAACAATATCATTGTTTATAAGTTATTTGTTGTTAAAATTTCTTAAGTCGTTCCACTTGGTTTCCTTAACAAAAAGTGCATTTGTCACATATTTTCATCAATTATATAAATAGGCAATCATGTTTCCTTTACACCCCTTTTACGGCTAAACTATACTTCTAAGGTATAAACAGTTATATATCATTAGAAAGGTACTTTGATGCTGATGTGCAGGCAATTTTTAAAATTTCAAATCAGTTTAAAATAGAGCGAAAAAATCAATTCAAAAGTCACACCAATACCAATGCCATACATGTACATGGTTGGGGCGGAAATGCCCCCTAAATGTATGCTTTAATATTGATAGCGAATTAAAGCAACGTGCTAAGCAGCAGTTCAGGAATAAATTGTATGTATGTATGTACATGAATAGATTAGACTCAAACAAGGAAGAAGGTAAAGTTGAATTTGGAGAAGAAGAAAGTGATAAATACAGAAATTAAAATAAAAGTAAAG